GTCAAAGTTTCAAAGTTTCGTCGCATGCCATTGCATTATCACGAATTGATTATAATTTGAGTTTGAGTTCTCATTAGTTCAATGCAACGTCGTAGCAATATTGCTTGCAATATTATATGACAAGGACATAGGAATATGGTGGCAATATTGCAGCCATATTGTCTGAAATATTGCGATCATGTAGTACTTGTAGTAAATTTGTTATAAATAGTAATATTGTTGCAATATTGAGTGTTGTTGGGGTGCTTAAGTTTCAAGCGGCGAATTTGCAAATACTATGATGAGTCACTCTAGCTTTGCGCAAAACTGATATATCCGAATCTACTAGGGAAGGGCACAGGTTGAGTCAATAGGTTATGACGCAATTTCCATCGGATCTGGCTAAAAGCGGCGATCTTCGCGCTGGTAACGCCTACGGCCATTAATAATTCCCGGTGCGGTGCACCCGGTCGGGTTTACCCACGTGGGTTTCCTCCGCGCGGCTGCAAACGACCATTTCTAGAGGCACGTTAAGATCGCGGCTTCTGTGTGCGTAATGCAGTGGACGCGTCTTGGTCGTTGGTCGTCCGACGTCCGACTCTTGACTCGATTTCGCGACCGCAAACTCCGAGAGATATATCTCTCCCCGATTTCGCCCCCCTTCGTTCCCAGCCTGGTCCCCTTTCGCGTCTTTTTCTTACCCGCGCCGCGGTGCCGTCTCGCTTTGCACGCGGCCAACGTCGACTGGTACCCTCTTCGTCGGCGTTCCTCTCGCCCCTTCGGTGGCTGCGCCGATCCTAACTGCCCTCCCCGCTCCTCCACCTCACCCGGCCTCCTCTTCCTCCTCCTCCTGTCCCGGCAATGGGACAGGGAGATAGCAGACCCCGTCGAGGAGACAACATAAAGATTTAAGACTCCGAGATGCGCCAATAAACATGCTGCGGCCGTGCAGTCAGCCTGCGCTTCTCTCTACTGCGTTTCGCTTCTGTTCCGTTTCATTCGGTTCCGCACCGCTCCTCCGTTCTGTTCTGTTCTGTTCTGTTCTGTTTCGCAGCGACGAGACGTACACACGAGCACCCCGTAAACGCGCACGCACGCACACACGCGTACCCGGGCCGCCTCTCTCGCGTGCACGTGGTGGTGCCACCGCGCCGCTGCGTAACATGCTTTCGAAAAGTGTCTCGATGCGTATGCAGATACGCGGCTCAGCATGAATAGTATCTAGATCCGGCCGAGGATAAGTCGCCGCGATACGGGCACGTCCGAGCGCCGCGGTTGAATTTCTAGAGGCGCGACTACCACCGGAAGAAGCGTACTTTTTTCCTCTCCGTCAGCTGCGCGTATAGACAGCCATTGAATAGAAAATGTCTCCCGGACATGCGCATGATCATCGACCTCCTCTGTGTCCTCTTTCTTACGTTTCATTTGCGCAGCCCTAATACGTTCATTAACGTTACGAAGATCGTTAAATGGATCTCCCGCGTGGAGTTCCTCCCACGACAGAATCACTTGTCCTTTAAAATCCATTCGAAACATCCACCGAGTGATCTACGAGCTTTACCCGAAGCGTCGCGGACGCAGGAGGAAGAGGCCTTTCCGGATAACGAGACAGAAGTACACCTGCCGCGGTTCGTACAGAGGCGAACAGGCGCAGGACGCGGTGGAAAGTTTTCAATGCGAGGACGGTCGTACACACCGCAAAAGTAGTAGATCGGGACACGTTGCCCGTCGAACCGCGGCAACAGGGAGTCCGACGACGGTGGAACCGTTGCTACTGCTCTACCGCCTCCTATGCTACTTTTCTCTGTCCCCCCCTCGGTCTCCCGGCACTCCCCGGTGCCCGGGCTTATTTATTCCTCTCTCTGTCACTGCCCTCCCTTTCTTCTGCGACTTCTTCTTTATTTCTGTCCTTTTGCCCGTTTTCTGCTTCCGCAAACGACAGCCGCTTATTTATACCCCGTCTTTGCATCGCGCGGGAGGGAGCGAGCGAGGGCGCTTTTGCGTTTACTCGCTGCTACTGGCCGTTCCCTCGGCCGCTTCTGTGTTCCTTCTCCGCCACCGCCGATACTCCGTTTCCCAGCTTCCTTTCTGCCCTTTCGCTCGCCCCGTTCATCGTCCGGCTCCTCTTCGCCGCCGTCTTCTCTCGCTTCACCTTCCTTCTTCGCTCACTCGCTCGCTCGCTCGCTCGCTCGAGCCCCGTGCAATGGGCGAAACATCAACGGCACCCGGGCACTTTGCTCACGAACACCGTGAGATGTGCACGATGTGAGAGGCAATTCCGCGACTGCATCACCTGTCAACGCGGGATCGCGTTCTAACAGGTCTATATTACATGCGGCATGCGGCTATTCTCGGTAATCGCTGCCACCGTCGGACCGGCGACTAATTCGTTCGCCGAGAAATTTATGACGATTCTCTCTTTTCATCAGAGGAACCAGCTTAGGGCGTTATGCCAATCTCTTGCAATCCATTTTTTTTTCTAAAATCGTCCTTCTATTCTTTTCTTAATTATTCGACGATTTGATTAACGGTGTATGTGTGCGCTGCGATTTCGTACGCGAAAGGCACAAACGCCGGTGATGAAGTTAGAGAAGTTGCGTCACCCTTGACGAGATTCGTTATCGCGTACTCGGCTGAAACTCCATGGCCGCTTACGCAAATCGCCTAATTGTGCAACGGAGAACGTAGCAACGTTGGCCCGATGCGTGATCTTTAGATGCGCTAATTCCTCAGATAGTGAAATGCGATTTAAATGAATCCTGTTGCCACGTTACTGTGTGCAAGGGAAACTATCTTCGCGGACTTCGTACGTGGATAATTCTAAAACCAAGGCTCGATTGTCCTTTTGAGGACAAATGGACGGCCAAAATTATCGACGTAGACTATTCCGCATGGGTTTGGTAATAGTGAATAAATCGAAAATCTGACCAGAAGACTCAATCCATTGTCAATAAGGAGATAACTTCTGCATTTTCGGCGTTTTTCATTTCAGGCACCCTAACTGTATTATGTCAGCATTTGAGGCACCTTTTTTTTAGCATAACTTGATTGCCTTTAGTTATTTTTGTACGAAAAAGTTATTTTACACAGTTCATTTATAGTCAAATACATACATAAAGTTAAAAAAGATTCGCAAAAATGACCTAAATTTTAGGCGGTTACACTGGTAAGGCCCCTTAACGGGACGAGGCTCGTCGGGTTGTCAGTTTGAGATAATTGCCAGATAAATTTCGATCGGAGCACGCGACGATGACGTGAGTAGTTCCTCGCGTACGAGTCAGAAAAACCGACTCGGGGAAAAGAAATTGGATCGCGAAATAACCGAATACTATCGAGGCGCGGTACAAACTATGGTTTGTGTGCGCGCGCGCGCGCGCGCGGCCCAGCTAAAGCCCCCGGGAAGAGGCGAACAAATAAATGCTGAAAAGAGGAACAAAACCGACATTATATGGCATTAACATACAAAGTATGTCAGACCCGCGCGGTCCGCAGGCATAACATAGTATCGCGGCGTTCGCATACCCCGCCTGCTTTAACAGTGGCCAGCGGGACCAGGAAGGCATTGGAAAGAGACCGATCGTGAAACCGGTGAACGGAGAAGAGGACCGTGGAAGGCCGAAAGGCCGATGGGGAGAGAGAGACGGTTAAAAGGAAAAAGGGGCGAGCGTCGAATGTGTTCGAGTTAAAGCGTGCGCGGAACAGAGAGGGTGGAATGATGAACGCAGGGAGGTGTGCGTGGCGCGGAAAAGGAGCAAGTAAGAGGAGGCTGCGGTACGAGGGTGAGGAAGTAAGGTAGGACGGGGGAGGAGGTAAACGTTTACGCTATCCGAAGTCCCCCGAATGTTCCGTCCCCGTCGTTTCGCTGTCCCTGCGTGCGCCACGCGGTGCGGCTCGACGCAAAAGGACCCACGGAGCGGCAGCGAGGTAGCAGAACGCGCAGGAAAGGGAAAGATCCGTGGAGGTAGCAGTAATCCGGTGGCAAAACGAAAAATCGGCCCGCATATATCGAGCCAACCTGCGAGGACGACGAAGACGAAGACCGCGGCGACGGTGGCGGCTGCGACGACGACGACCAAGGTGGAACACACACACAAAACGAACAATCGTACGCGTATCCCTACTGCCCACCGGACGCCCGATAGGCCGCTACCTAGCGATGGTTACGAATTAGATGCGAAACTACGAACAAGTCCGCACCATCTTTTTTCTAGTCGTTTGATATTTTCTCCTCGTTAATATTGATATAATTGTTTCTGAAAGAAAACGCAAGAATTGGAACAGTACCAATGTTTTATTAATAACATTTCTAACACACGAATGATTGTAGTACATATTTTTTTAGGAAAAAGTGTTCATCTCTTTATTTAAGATAGATCTCTGTTTCTGTGTTCCAATGCTGTGTACGCCTGACTCTACGCAGTCTTTACGCCGGCTTCGTAGTTCCACGTTTAGTTCACAAGTGTATGTCAGACTCCATAGAATCCCATTTTCTGGGAGATGATCGTGTGAAAAGTTGATATTAAAAAATGAATTAAATTAGGATAATTGAAATTAAACAGTTTCGATGATGTTCGCCAAAGTTTATTTACCTAGGTGTGCACAAGAATCAGTGTCATAGATAAAAAAATACATAAAGGAATTAGTAAGTACGAGAACTTGTGAGCTGGATTAAAAAACGTCATAACATGCAAATCTGGTGTCGCCTTACAAACGTGATAAGGCATCAAACGTGAATAAATTAAAACTATATAATATTCAGAAATTCTCCCCCTTTCTCAACTGTCCAGCAAATACTATATCTCAATTATTGCACCTATTATTGTAGAATTGTTCGGGACACATCATTATGCTATCTACTTAGAAATATACACTAAGTAGCCCTTCGATGACAAAATGCCACGGCACTTCAGATGAATTTGATATCTCAAGACCCAATGCAATCTCGCGTTACCATTAAATATTCCGTTCAAGTCTTCGTCTGGGAGAATTTCTATAAAATATATGAAATAAATCAACAATGTTCTATTTTATTATTAGGTGTACAACTTTGCTTCCGCGTTTTTTTTTTCTCGAAATTCGAGGCTTTATTGTAAAAAAGTTTGTCTATCGCCTTCTATTGTTCTTCCATCTTTCGGGCCGCATACGAATCCCAAGTCAAAAAACTAGTCATTTTTTTAAGCGATCCACGGATCGGTCCAATTTTTGACTTCTTGTCAAGCTACGCTTGAGATATCGTAATGAACCCATTTTTCGTCCCCAGTTACAATACAATACAAAAATCCCTTCCGTTTTTCCCTTGCAAGCAGCTGTTCACAAGCTAACACGCCGTTCAACATTTCTCGGCTTCAACTCGTACCGCACCTAATTTCCTTGCTTCTGAATCATTCCCATGACTTTGAAGCGTTTTGAAATGACTTGTTAAGTTACTTCCAATGATCTTGCCAATTCTTCTTGCGTTTGACACGAGTCTCGATCAAGTAATGCCTCCAATTACGCATCTTCGAAAATCTCTCTTCCACCGCCCCGCCGGTCTTCGACGTTAAAATCACCGTTCTTGAATCGTTGAAATCACTCTCGACACGTTTTTTCACTAATAGCGGCATCACCATAAGTTTTTGAGAGCATTCGATGAGGCTCAGCCGCAGATTTCTTCATAATGAAGCAGAAAATTAAAACCTCCCGTCAATGACGAGATTTTGGTTCTTAAACTGATATTTTGAATCGAGAATAACTTTATGATGCAGACATAAATCGACTAATATTTGGATAATGTTATATTTATAAATTCCTAAGCTTATATTTATTTCTGTCACCACTTACCGCTAGAACCATCTACTGGAAAACGGCGGAAACAAAGTTGTTCACTTAATAAGTACAGATTTACTTACGTCCAGGATCGTTGTGAGTCAACAATTGAATATCGTTTTCCTTCGTAAACGTCTTCAGTGCTTCAGGTACAACACAACATGTAGATAAAGTGATTTGTACAATATTTGGCTTTATCTGTTCACAAAAAATGCAATTTTACTGCTAAAATGATAGCAGAAAAATATTAAAGAAAAGTGTAAGAACATTTTTACATTTGTCCAGTGAAACAAGTCAATGAATACGTTAGTGTCGACGTCGCTCAGACCGACACTTGACAGTTTGCCAATTTTCACATACTCTTCTACTCCAGCCCATAGCTGTTTCAGCGATGCCAATTGCTGTTCCTCTGAACTCTCTTGGCCTGAGTAGCTAATTACCAAAGACTCAATCGCGTTTATATTTAAAAAATTACAAACTGAAAGAAATCACATGTCATCAATATAAATAGAGTTAATTTCATAATATGACGTCATACTTTGATCAATCGCCTCTTTCAATGAGTTTGCATCTGGCGTCGGTATAAAAACTTTTACTGTTATCTTCACATCTTCCCTGTTGATATCTTTTAAAGCGTTATCTTCTAAACCTTGAATCTAAAAAACGAACATGGTTTTTCATTAATAAGTCTCGTCAGTTTTCAAATTACCATCAATAGAAAATGTGATCGTACGATTACTGGATTTTCACCGCTGCCTTCGTTGTCGCGAAGTACAATCTTCAACGTTTCGATTAACTGAAAGAATTGTTCTTAGCACGTTACAATTAAAATCGTGTCCAGTGTCGATGACAGGACATAACCTCGAGCATTATGATCCAGAGAGAATGACATACGAGAATTAAGTGATTTTACGAAATGTCGATGAAAAATGTTATTCCACTGACCTCGTCCGTTGGATTCTGACCCACTTTTGTTTTCGCCTCGTTTAAGGAAAGTATATTCCCCGTGCGAACTAATACGTTTTGCGACAACATAGTGTACCGGACGAAGTGTACAGAATGTTAGCGAGCGAGCGTGCGGCGAACGACTAACTACTTATCAGAGTTCGCTAGGAAAACTGATATCATGGACCTGAGGACAGCGATCAATTGCTCGAGGTTGTAACTTAATCATACACGGCAGCGAATGACTGCGCAATTCTCGATCCAAAGATAGCACCACCGATTAATCTCCAGACATCGGAGGACGAAAGAATTTGTCCGTACGAGTGTTAGATCGTACACGTGCCCTTCAAACTTTATGCATTTTTTTTTTTTTCCTACATAATTCTCGAGTAACTCGAGCCATTCAGCTATGTGCACGCGTCCTCTCCACACGTGCACATAGCCGAGCAGGCCTTGTTGCGACATATCCATTGCGCAATCCTAAACAATTATCTACGTGTAGATTATGTTTTCCTTTAAACTGAAATTACATAATGTTGCACGTTTCCACACGATTTCTTCTACTTAAACGTTAACGTTCCAGGAAACGTTTTAAGTTGAAATCGTAATGGATATTTCAGGATCTTTTATAATCATCTCTTTACGATTTAACATAAATCGTGTATATACATTTTTACATCCCCAATGCATACAAAATGTAAAATCTTTAAAATCGATGAGTATAACGAAATTGTATTGAAATAAAATAATCGCCAAAGAATGACTGGCAAGGCCAAATGTATTACAAAGTAACGAACATATCGAAGATAGATATGATATCTCATTAATTGATATTATTAATAAAATCAATCAATATTATCAATAAAATTTATTTTGCACTTACCAAATAGCGTAACCGTCGTAACGAATCACTCTATAACGCGTATACTTCACGGTCGAAAAGTGATGTGCAGAAAATAAATACATTCCGTTTAACATTTGCAATTCGCTGAGTAGGCTGACGAGACAAGTTCTTCACGAAGATTTATCGAACGAGTTAAAGATAATTTTATTATCACATAATAAAAATGCCCGCTGACGTTCTTGGATACGTATACGCCGCTGCAGTAGCGGCTGGCGGCGTTCTCGGTTATGTAAAAGCACGTAAGTTTATTATTAAATACCACGTAAATAAGGAATGAAATAATTTTCAGAAATGAAGTGTCTTAATTTCTTGTAGAATCGATCCCATCCCTTGGCGCCGGACTTGCTTTTGGGTCTGTTTTGGGCTATGGAGCTTACCAAACTTCTGAAGATCCGACGAACATCAGACTTTCAGTGGCAGCTACTTTGGTTCTTGGGGGTCTGATGGGTGTCCGTTATTATTCTTCTGGCAAAATGATGCCAGCTGGGATGCTCGCTATACTCAGGTATCTTTTTATAATTAAACTACTTATAGAACTTGGCTATGTATCTTCAATGAAATGATGTATTTTTCTAGCACTGCGATGCTGATCAAAACTGTTGTTAGGTCATTTACAGCAGTTCCTATGAAGACACAATAAAAGCCCTCTCATCTAATTATTCGTGAATTATTACATTGTGATTAGCATATCAAGCATCCTGTCTGCGATTGAAAAATGTATCCTATTCCACATTCTGTGCAAAATGGTTAAATGCAGTGATATTTACAATTTATTTTTAAGAAAAGTACTGCTTATTTAATATATTATTTTATATCGTACAAATTAAAACAATGTACTGTTGTTACATTGCCAAGGGATGATGTGTAGACTTTGTTTCTGTTCTAATATCTTTTTATAATACATCCGAATAAAAATGGAACCTATATATCATTATTGTACAAATTCATTGAACAACGATTGTGTTTATTATAATATATAGAAAAATAATGAAAGGTTTGACAAGTCGGATAAGAACTGCTCTTGTCGTTTGCTTATTACGCGAAACAAACGTGGCACAGAACGTTCAGTATTAAAAACCAAGAAATTATAATAGTATACCTCTTTTTATTTCTGCATCAGCTTATCAACGAAGAATAAATGAGATTTCTTTATTCAGTTACTCACGCGCGTGTAACGGTTCCTGGAAAAAATCGATCACTGATTTCAAACTAAGGAATCGATTGCGATGGTCGAAGATCGGAATCTCGAGATTCGAGTTGTGAGTTCGAATATCCTCTGGATTGAATTAGTGATCGGATCATTATTTATATAGATATATAATTAAAATACGGCTACGACACTATAACAATTTAATTTTTTAAAGTTTATATTGTCTTCAGCCACGTCTTCCTCCTAATTTTGTGCGACGCGTGCACCATCTGCACTGATCCTTTAGGCGAATTCTCAATGCACTCTGCGATATTCCCATCTAGCGAAATGCGTGACTGGTTCATGTACTCCATTTACTTTACTCCATTATTGAACTCGTTCACTTCTCTCCGACGTAACGCGCGTGGTGGGTGGGTTCTCGGTTCTCTTCCGTTCGGTGGTCGTTTCTCATCGGGTGTAACAATGACGTGAGTATCAAAATCTATTCATATTTCGAACATCTGAATCCCTATTTTATTTTCGTCGCAAACATGATTTAATGTAACGTTTCGTCTAAATGTATTTGATAATATTTTATATCTAAAACGTATTCAATTCTATACTTGTTAATTCCTGTTCGTTGAACCATATTTCGCATGTGTGCATTTAATTATTATAATATTCCTTTCGTATTCTCGATGCTTCAGGTCGAAAGTGTCGCGCGACACTCTTTACGAGTGCGTAAACGGTGTGATTCAGAATTCTCAGGACAAAAAGAGAAAATTCTTGGAAACCGTGGAGCTCCAAATCGGTTTGAAGAACTACGATCCGCAAAAGGACAAACGTTTCTCAGGCACTGTCAAGTACGTTTTTACCTGACTCCGAGGATACTTTTCGGTTTTTAATGGACTCGCTTTTGCATTTCACTAACATCCGAAAAGTTTGCCTCGTGCTCGTTCAGGAAGCTGGGCTTAACCCGGCGGACCTTCACCCAGGGTCTTAAATAAATTGGGGAGGTATTGTACCGTTAGTTTTCTTCCAGGATCATGAATCATGATCCTGACGGTAAGTCTATGCTCAATCATGATAATTAATTATCGAAACCAATGTTCAATGATGACGAAATATTTTGCATGTATTATCTGAACAACCAATGTGGTCACTTAATGTTACTGAGAACATTGACTTTGATAATTTATTTTTATAAGATCAGGGAAATTATTTTGTAATTTGTTTACATCGTATCATAGCAATGTGAACGTATGTATTTGGAAACCATTGATTTTTTAATTATTCGCGTCGTATTTATGTATTAAAGGCTAAAGAATATTCCAAGACCGAAGATGCAGGTTTGCGTTTTGGGTGACCAGCAGCATTGCGATGAAGCTAAAGCTAACAATATCCCATATATGGACGCAGAAGCATTGAAAAAATTGAATAAGAACAAGAAGCTCGTAAAGAAACTAGGTAATTCGAAGCTCTTTTTATTTCCCTACTTTCGATCTTCCAAAAAGCACCATTGTTTCTATTTCAATTTCGAGCAGTGGACGTCGAATGGAAGAAGATTAATTTCTTCACTAGGTGTGGACGTTGTACTTTATTACTTCGTACCTCAATCCGTGTCGAGACACTTTCTAAATAACACGTTATACAAGTTTTACTGTTTTTACGTCGAGTTTTAATTCAATCTCGTTCTTGCAGCTAAGAAATATGACGCCTTTCTGGCTAGCGAATCGCTGATCAAGCAGATTCCACGTATTCTCGGTCCTGGTTTGAACAAGGCCGGTAAATTCCCTGGTCTTCTTTCCCATCAGGAATCGATGGTAGGAAAAATTGATGAAGTGAAGGCAACGATTAAGTTCCAAATGAAGAAGGTACGTCCCGTTTCCTATTTGTTGTAATCATAAATAGCTTCATAATCCACGGCGCGTAAATGTTAATTGAAAAATTTTTTTCTCCAGGTGCTGTGTCTATCAGTGGCCGTGGGACACGTTGAAATGACTCCGGACGAATTGGTTCAAAATGTACATCTTTCGATCAACTTTTTGGTTTCGCTATTGAAGAAACACTGGCAAAACGTTCGTTCTCTACACATTAAATCGTCTATGGGACCACCTCAAAGACTATACTAAGTCAATTAGTACAAATATGTTTGTATGTGATGGAATAAAGCGAAGAAAAAATAAATTGCATTTATATTTATTACACGATAATTCCCTCTACTTAAGTTTTAATCACATTTTTAATTAATACGAAAAATTTGAATTTTCGAAGGGATGTGGAATGAAGAACAGAATTTTGTACTTAAACCTTTATTTAATTTAATTTAATAGAGATTAAAAATGTTTCGTTATACGAAACGCGTATAGAAAAATATAGCCAGCGCTTTAAAAACAGAAATATACGCTTTATATTAATAATCGATCACAATATTTATTTCTCGTGTCAGTTTCCTAATTGTGCGTCGTAATTGACCGTAAAATATTGTTCGTTCGAAACAAGCAACTTTCAAGACTAATCACAATGCCCGGTAACAAGTATTACAATAATAATAATTTAGATTTCCCCTGATTCTTACGTAGATTCGTTATAAATTTATTGAATCGGTGCAAAATTGTAGACCGGATATTTAGGCGCAAAACGATTCGATATACCGAAAATGTGGTCGGATTCGCCCCGTTCCCAAAGGCTTCTGGCACCGTTGGTCGACTCCTCGTACGAAGGTGGTGCTGGTAAATATAAAGTTACATTAATTTCAAATAAAAATTCGCAGTCTAATAATTAATTAAAGTTATCTTCCTTTGGCAAACAGGTGGAGAATTGTGCAACTTACGCAAATTGGGGTATAAATTGTTTACGGGTGACCCGTCAGGGCCTGAGACTGGAATGCCAGAGGCGGACCAGCCGATTTGCGGCTTCGTTGGAGATACCTCGGCCGGTGGAGCGCTTGGTGTTTGGTAACTCACCAATGGAACAGTGCCCACAAATATCAGACTATTCTTCGACAAATTTCGATGATACCTGATAATAAAGAGCCTCAGTTAATGCTGCACAATTTAGTACAATTTCTACTGGACGATTCGCTGGTCTGCTACAATTTGTTGCTTTAAATATTATTATTATACTGACCATCCTGAGACGCAGGCAACGACTTTAAGATTGTATTCCAGGTCGATTATCCCGCAGTTGGCGAGATTCGATGGAGGCAATGGTGGAATATCGAGCTTCTGTTCATAATCAGCAGCCGCTCCACCCTCAACTGGTCCCTTCCCGACCTCCGCTATCACGATTTCTTCCGTTTTGGTATCGCTGGTCGGCGTGGTCGCCCGAAAAGTCACGATCTAGACTTCACGATCCATCGTTATCGTCGAAAGAATTTCGCGTATTGGCGTAACTAGTTGCACTCATTTCTAAATTAGTAATATGGATCTTTGGGTGGGCAGACACACCTGAAGCCCTTTCTAGTTACGACAATACTTTGGCATAAAAGAAGCAACGTTTCTTCAATGATAATAGTAAGATTATTGAACCGACATTGTACCTTACACAAAATCAGTTTCACAGTCTCTACGGTGACTCCGGATGAATTTTCGACATTTACTTTTACAGGCATTGATTGCCCTGGCACGTATCCTCTGACCGGCAGCGAATAGTTGACAGTCAATGGCGGTGATCCGCAGCATAAGCAGCAGAAAGTCTTACTCATTTCCTCCTGTATTTTCTCCTGTGAAAAGCGTACAATAAAAATAAGTAGTGGAATAAAATAGATTCTCTAGAATTACTCTTCTATCACGTGGACAATGAATAAAATTGATTTTTGACAAGGACGAGTTCTAGAAGTCGTACCGAGGCTCTTGGTTCTTGATTAAGGTCGAGAGGCGAGATCACTGTAAATGGGCTCTTTGCTTCTTGATCGAATTTCCACGGACGATCCAATGTCGCCTTGACGGTGTATCGAACGTGCCCGAAGTCCGATTCGAAGCTGCTGGGTAAATTCGTTGGTAAAACGCATTGGAATGGGAATGTGTGTTCGCCGCTTTGTATCTCTATCTCGCCGCCTACAACAGAAATATTTTACTGCCTAATTTAGTAGAATTTACGAACTCAGTGCCAGAATTCAGAGTTCTTAAAAATCCTTTAAAAAATGATAATCAAAATCAGGATACCCCGACTAGTTCAAACTGTATGGACACTTTAATTAATGGAAGTTATGAGGGAGGATAGAAATAGAAGAAAAGAGTATTTCTAAGGAGATGAATTCGAAGAAGATAAAAAATGATTTAAATTAGTAGAAGGAAAGTCTGACTATCATTATAAAACTCCTAATAGAGCATAATTTAATCTTGAATTTTGTATAAAATGATGAGTAAAAATTGTGAACTGAAATTAGGACATTTTCTATAATGTTGCAATAAAACTAATTCAGTTCCAGCGACAGAAATAAATGGAATTTATGTTTTCTGATACGAAACAATTTTTTATTTTTAACCGGTTTCGTCTTTTTTCATCCAACGAAGCGAAACGGTTGTCACAGAGAGAGAAAGAGAGAGAGAGAGAGAGAGGGCTCGCGGGTTTCAACTATTTAGAGCGTCTGACACGAAGGTTCGCGACACATTTCAGAAATTAACAATGAGATAACGGAGTTAAATCTTCACGGCTGACCGTCACTGTCCGTTTCTACTGCGCGGGTGTGTTCCGTGCACGCGTGAGATCGCACGCGCTATTATTAAACTACACGTTGCAACAAAGAGGAAGAAAAATGAACGGTGGAATGCGACGAGCTCAGCCTAGAGAATATGCATCCGACGTTATTTACAAATTAGAACAAAACTCAAAATAGAACGAGTGTCGAAATATTCGATATGTACACGTAAATACAATATAAATATATTATGTTTTAAAATTCCTTTCTAATAGAAATTAAAAATAACAATTAAGTTTTATGTGAATACAGTAACTATAGTAAATGTCCTAATTCCTTTTCACGTCACAATTGCTACCCACTAACTTCCTGTCTATCATTTTACATTTAATCTCAAGCCAGTGAATAGAAATTCTGAATTCCTGAAACAAAACNGTCAAAATATCGATAAATATCGAAATATATTCTAAAAATCGTCAAAAATTCCATACTTTTTAGGCTTGTATTTCCTCAAGTCAGTAGTTTCTTCCAACTTCGCGCACACCAAATACCAGAAAGTTGTCTTTGAGTTACTGCTGATTACCATAAGCGTACATGCAAATGTTAAGTGACTATAATTTTCCAAAAAACGCATGAACTAATTTAAAATTTGCAGGTAGCTTTTTAATAATAATAGTAATCTATAATAACAAATTCAACATGTTAGCATTATTTAAATATATATCCTATAAATCCTTAATTACACACATAATCAATCGTTACATTATCGTCGTGACATTTCTTATCATTTTATTATTTCAACGAGTTTATTATCGTTTACGTCAATAGTTATTTGTTCTTATCGTCGTACGACAACATCATTTAGCTAATTGATAAACTCATTAGCTTCCGGAACCATGGCGGAGTGAATGATTAATCGTCGCAATTTATTCTAGTGCAACTGTTTCCAGGAACGAGTGCATCGCCTGACACCCTCAAAAAGCACCCTCCTCCAACCCCTATTCAAGCACAGACCACGAGAGCCACGAGGATCGTCTCTGGCGCGACCGTCGTCGTCGTCGACGTTTGTTCTCGTCACCGTTAAGTCGGTTCCTTTCCCACAACCGTTTCCCTATTCCGCGCAAGCTCCGCCAGTTACTATTGATCGGAGGGCATTTCGTCCGATGGTCGCCTCAGAATACCACCAACGGTCCGCACGCCGTAAATATTCGTCTAGTGCGCCGTGGCCGAGTGACTCGTTTCGCGGATAAGGGGAAATAATAAATCTTACGTACGGACCAGGTAGCGAGAGTTCGCGTGGCCGAAGATGGTCAGTGGAGCGACGGAAGACGGGCCCGTGATTCGACCCGTCGATTTCGGTGAGTGAACCTGTCCCAGGTGGAAACCCTTTCAACCCGTTTCTCGCTGTTCCGGACAGCTACCGTATCGAACCGACATCGATCCCTTCGTAGCTGACTCCAGGCATCGTTCCCTTCCAAGATTGTTGCACCATGTCGCGTATTCTTTTCTATTTTTCATTCGTATGATAATTAAGCGTTAACGGTGTTACTCGGTTACTACCATCGTGGCGCCGAGAAACGCGGACAGCTGTTACGTCGTGATTCTGGACACTAGCTGGGTGTTCCCGGCCACTAATGTCGGTCCCATCTGGTCCGCTTTTGATTACATCGCTCTGAGAACTCGCGATGTGGGTGAGATTTGCTGATAACTTAGTAAACGATAACGTAATTGCAACGGCGCGTTATGTAGGTGTATGTATATCGTAATGGTTGCGTCTATTGCTAACCAGGCGCGAACCATGTGATTAGTTGTTAATTCGTTCCTTTCGTTTAGTATTTTAATGGGCTGGTTCGAGTTTTGATTAGGTTCGTTTGAATGCTGTTATCCTGTTTCGTTTTGGAATCGATATTGAGATTATAGGGTTGAACGCAAGACCCTTGAGAATATTTGCAGTACAAGTTAAACGTAGTTAACGATTAATTCAATTACTCCATAATTTATTCTTGGAGATTTATTCTTTTAT